GGGAGAGGGAGAAGCAGGCTTCCCGCGGAGCAGGGAGCCCGATGTGGGGCTCGATCCCAGGACCCCGGGACCATGACCTGAGCCGAAGGCAGACGCCCAATGACTGAGCCACCCAGGGCCCCTCCTCTGTTTCTTCCTCACCCTCTGTCTACGTGGACGTACTGTTTTTCTGAGCACTGGGTATAAGTTGCGACGAGCCGCCTCTTTACCCATAAATACTCCCTCTCTTAAGGAAACGCAACAACAGAGCTGGGATGTGGACCTGCACCCGGTAAGCCGGCAAACTTTCCCGAAGGGCACAAAGTGAGGCTCGGAGACTTGCCCCCGAGCTCTGCAGTGGTGGCCCACGCCCCCACGCGCACGCCGGGGCACAAGGGCCTGCAGGCAGATCCGCACAGCAGTGCAGCTGGTGGGGCTCACCCCTTCCCCGCTCTGCACTTGGGGACCTTACGTCGGTGGCCTGACCTCTGCCACCCGGGGAGGACGTAAGGCCATGGAGACGGGCACATGCTGCCAAGCAGCACTTTGGTGTGCTCTCTGGAGGGCGCGCTTGCTAGCTCGCTGCCGCGGTGTGCGCACACCCCCAGGAGGGCTGTGTCGGGATCACACCGTGGGCGCCTGGCCTCCAAGCAGCAGCATTCCCGCGGGCAGACGGAGGCGGCAGCAGCGTGGCCTCAGGGGGAAGCTGGGAGAACTGGCGACAGGTGAAGCCCACCGGTGGAGGCAGGGCCGACAGACAGACCTGTCCTCGTTTCCGGAGCTGGTGCTGCCAAGCAGGCCTCGGCACTGGTCCCGCGGAGTAACTGTGGGCCAGCTCCAGGGCGGCCATGTGGGGGCCTTCCCAGACGGCAGAGGCACCCCCACTGGCAGGCGGCAGCCGTGGCCCCCCCCGGCAGGAGCCAATGTCGGGGTCAGTGAGGGGACAGGGACGCCCTGCGCGTGGGGACCAGCCACCCTGCCTGGGAACACGCTCTCTGCTGCCTTACTCAAGCAGCCCCTGAAACCCCGGCCTCCAAACGGGCACGACAAAGGCCCTGCCCCCACACAGCTGCCATTTTAGTTGGGACGGTCACCAAAGACGACGGCTCAGTAAACAGACTGCGTAGGTAAAAATGAAGCAGGGCTGGAGGTGTGGGGCTGGCCGTGGGAGAAGGTCCTGCAAAGCTGACACTGTAGCAGAGACCTGGAAGAAGTGGGCGGGCGAGCCATGAGGATTTCTGGAGGAAGAGTCCTCCAGGCTGATGGGACCACATGTGCAAAGGCCCTGGGGCAGCAGCTGACAGCTCGTATTCCAGGAAGGCAGGAAAGGAGATGACATGCCTGCTATTAGTTTCCACCACTTCCTGTACTTGACATTTCCTCAGGTCTCTCAGGGCAAACTGGGACAGAAAGGGACACAAGCTCTCCTGTCCTGCCCGGGTGGGAGAGACGGGGACACGCCAGGCTCTGGGGAAGCAGCACCCAACCCAGCACGTCGCTGCTCACACAGGGCCCCCCTCCCACCCACTCCCTCACCTGCAGAGGCACACAGCACGCCTCTGGGGTGCCCACTCGTGGGTCCAGACACACTCAGAGCCTGCAAGCCCACCCTACACTCAAGGGTAAAAACACTGTTTTTCACCCAAACTAGCACCTGCTCACCCAGCCTGTGAGTGCTGTCGTTATCCACCAGGGAAACGGGAGGTACATGAGGTCACAGAAGGGGGCAGCCCGTGTCCCCACACATGTGGCCGCCGCGTAGCCCCAGCACCAGGGCGGCTGCAGAGCTGCGGGCAAGCTGGGGGGCCCTGGTGAATGCCCCCCATGCAGCTGAACCACCGTAAGAAGCCCCTCTGCCGAGGCAGGCAGCACCAGGTGGTGCCTGGCCAGGGCTCCGGGGGCCAGGGGAGGCAGGTGTGACCCGGCCACACCCCCCACTCTGGTTGAGAGAGGCTAGGGCGACAGGCACGTGGTGTCCACTCAGTGGCCTCTGCAGGCGTGTACCAGGCCACACAGGCAGCAGCTATGGCCGGCCCTGCCAGGAGCCCCCAGTGGTGGATGAGGCACTGACCCAACTGGGGGTCCCCTGACCCAGCCCATCCATCAGGTGACAGGTGGAGCCCCAGGAGAGCCTGGGGGTGGGCAGACACGGGGGGAGGCTGAGCCTCTCGCAGCCGCACACACAGGCGCCCTGAGGCCGGGGCGTGGGGTCATTCCTGCTTGTGCGTGTCTGTCTGCCGCTGCGGGCCTGCCTTCCCGACAGGCTGCACTCCCCGACCCTGCACCCAGCAGGGCCCGTCCCAACCCCGTACTGGACGCCTGCTCGTTCACCCTCTTATGTTCCCATCTGCTCCCTGCAGCTCAGGGGTCAGCACGCCCACTTCAAGAGGATGTTGTGGAGCCTCCTGCTCTCACTTCCACCTGGACTGAGAACAGGGAAGGCCACGGAGAGGTTAGCAGACGGTCACAGTCTTGGCTCCCATGAGCACACCCAGAGAGCGTGGCAACTGCTCCAGTGACCACAGACCTCGGGCCCCATGGCCCCAGGGGCGCACCCAGCCCTGCCCGTCGCATCACACGCCGGAGGGGAAACGCGGCAGGTAGCCGGGCCCGGCGGGGGCTGGGCTGTGCACTCGCCCGCGGGGTGTGGGACTGCAGTGGGATGGCCGCCACGCCCGGCGTGGTTAGCCCGGATGGAGCAACGGGCCAGGCTCTGCTCCCACGCGGAAGGAGGCTGACGTGCCTGCAGGGAGGGAAAACGGTCAGGCCATCCAAAAAGGAGCCACAGGGGCCAAAAAATGGAAGGAAGCTCTGATGCAGGCCACAGCGTGGACGAGCCTGGAAAAGGCCATGCCAGAGAGAAGCGCGAATGGAAGATTCGGCAGATCCGGCCAGAAAGCGGGTCCGCGGGCTGGGGCTAGAAGTGTCTGGAACAGGTAGTGGCCTGCAACACTGTAAACGTGCCAGATGCCCCTGAACTGCACTTTCATATGGTTTCATGGTGACTTTCACGTTACGCGTATCTTACCATTTTTACAAAGGAGTGGTCGGGGAAGACCCCCTGAGGAGGGGGCATGGGAGAAGGGGGCACTGGGCCCTGTGGAGGAGGAGCAGGGGGCGGGAAAGGAGCAAGAATAGCTGCCACCTCAGCAGGAGCTGCTGGAATATTCTGGAAGCAGCCAGGAGAGGAGGAGAGCTGAGGGAGCACAGAAGGCCGCAGGAAGGCAGGGCTTCAGGGCCATTCCTCCCGGAACCTCTTCCAGTCCAGGGGCCTGGGCACACCCTATGGAGAGGAAGAGCCAGTGCCTAGAGATCAGAGGTTGCCCTTGGAGATCACCTCAGAGCCTAAACGCCAACTGTCACCAGGAGCAACCTGGATGGTACAGAGGGACACTGCCCAGGTTGAGCAGAGAAAGTGATGGTCTGAGAGAGGTGATATCTGAAAGAAGTGACATCTAAGGGGGTGATGACCTAAGGGGAGTGACATCTGAAGGGGGTGACAGCCAAGGGGGTGATGACCCAAGAGGGGTGATGACCCAGGGGAGTAACACCTGAGGACAGTGACATCTGAGCAGCGTGATGACCCAAGGGGGATGATTACCTGAGAGAGTGACAGCTGAGGGAGGTGACATCTGAAGGAAGTGACATCTGAAGGAAGAGACATCTGAGGGGGTGACAAGAGAAAGGTGATGACCTGAGGGAGGTGACATCTGAGGGAGGTGACGACCTGAGGGAGGTGACATCTGAAGGAGGTGACATCTGAGGGGGGTGATG